TCATTTTTTAAAACTGTTAACAGTATACGATAACAAAGATAGATAAACAAAAAAATCTGTTGAACTTTATTAAGTAAGAACTACGCTTACTATCTAAATGGAAATAAAATCTCAGACAATTATATACGATTGTTAAACAAAAACTTTAAGAATAAAAATGCTTACTTAGGTGGACGATTTTTTAAAAATTGTATCATAACTTCTATCATAGATGTGTTAGCAATGAGATATTATAGCAGACTGAGCGGCAGTCGCTGCTGTGTGCTCAGACGGGTTTACGCGTGTTTCTAGCGATTTGTTTATAACGTAGCCTCGATTATTCTACTTACCCCTAGTTTACTGACCCCGGTCTCCTCTACTTCTCTGAACAAATGCAAAGAATATTAAAAAAAATTGATTGGATTAAGAATAAAAAATCTAGATCTATTAAAGCATAAATTAGAACCATATCTTATTCTTGCTCAGTTTCGAAGGGACTGAATGACACGTCCAGTATCAATCAACTTACAATTTCTAATTACTCAAATAACAGTGTGGATTCTGAAAGAATTTATATAGCTCTCGATACATTGCATGACAAATGGTTTGTCAACTTGAACAGTTATAATGTTCTTTTGGAGATTCAGTATTTATTGCAACTTGGTGAAAAATTTGGTCTGCCTATAAATAAATATAACAAAGAGAAAACTTTAATTGAGTTCATTAAACATATAGAAAATAATTTAAATGGTCGCCCAAAAAATATAATTAATTTTGTCAGAAATAATTCGGTTCCCATACTCAATAGATTTCAAAATAACTTTCCTTCTCTTAAATTTACTGAAAAACTTATTCTACAATGGCTACATGTGACCAAAAAATTCGTTAACGACCATCCAAATATACTTATTACTAATGCTGATAAAGGAAATGTCACCGTGGTCCTTGACAGAGACGTCTACATATCCAATATGGAGGTTATTCTTTCAGATACCGACATTTATAGATTAATTGATAAAGATCCGATAAAAAAACTAACTCAAGATTTACGTGCATTGCTAGTGAGATGGAAGTGCAATCGTTTTATTGACGAACCTACATATAGAAGACTATTCACAACTGATGGTGTTATACCTAGAGCCTATGGCTTGACCAAAATACATAAAGATGGTAACCCATTACGTGTGATTGTATCTTCCATCAACAGTCCATTATATTGCCTTTCTCTTTTTTTGCATAACATTATCAATGACAATATTCCACAAGCTCCGAGCCATATATTATAAAAGACGGCTTCCATTTAATGCCAATTAACAAATTGGTTAACAAATTGAATGGTACACGTTTTGATTCTCAATATGTTTTGGCTTCGTTGGATATAGTATCTCTTTTCACAAATATTCCTGTTGATCTAGCAGCAAATAGCATCGAAAGGAGATGGGATTACATTTCGGCGAAGACAAGTATATCTAAACAAGAATTTATCATTGCAGTTAGTTTCGTCTTGGATTCAACTTTTTTTGCTTTCAATAATAAAACAAGTATTTGGTACTCCTATGGGCTCACCACTATCACCGATAATTGCTGATATTGTTATGCAGGACTTGGAAGAGAGTGCAATTAACAAATTATCTGTACAACCATTGTTTTACTACAGATATGTGGATGATATCATTCTTGCACTTCCATCGAACACTATCAATGACACACTAGATACATTCAACTCATTACACAACAGATTGCAGTTCACTGTGGAGATTGGTGGACTAACAACTATTTAAGTTTCCTTGACACGATGCTCATTATAGATAATCAAAGAATTATTTTTTATGTGTATCATAAAAAGACGTTTTCAGGAAGGTTCCTCAATTTCCATTCCAATCATCCTCTTTCCCACAAAAAAGGCACAATTATTAGCTTCATAATAATAATCTCGGGAGGCAGCCACCAGTTGGGGCCAGCCAACGACACGCAGACTAGGTCAATTGTGTCTTCCCGGCCGTAATAACTCCAGATCAGATCAGACCTGTCTAACCTCCAGAAACGGAGGAGGTCCCTGACCTGGAGTTGACATACCTGCTCGGGCTCGAGAAATACCGAGCCCAGAAAAAGCCGCCTTTGTCTTGCATACGCTGGGCATTCGCACAGCACGTGGAGAGAGGTTTCTTCCTCGTGTTCGCACTTCCTGCACTTCGGGTTATCACTGTGCCCCAGCTTGTGCATGTGGTAGTTAGTGAAGCCATGACCCGTATAGATCTGCACCGCGAGCCTGGCTTCCCCTCTCCTCAAGGTCCTAATGCTCCTGGCAAGGTCCCTGCTGGGCGTCTCTCCCAGCAGGGCTCTCGCCTGTCTGCATTTGGTTCTTGTCTCTTCCTTCCAGTAGTTGATATGACGGTCTCGTAACCAGCCCTTTATTTTTGCCCTGCAGATGCAGCTAGGTAAACCTAGAGCCGGTTCCGGTCCCATCAGTCTGGCTGATGAGCCACTTCTTGCCAGCTCATCAGTTAGCTCATTACCTTTGATTCCCGAGTGTCCCGGAACCCATACGAGAGCAACATCGTTGCCCGTGGACAGTCTGTTCAGAGCACATTTGCACTCCCAGATCAGCCACGAATAAAAAACGCATGCCCCCAGAGCCGCCCTGCCATCGGAGCATATCCTAATGCGTCTGCCCGTCTCACCTGATGCGGTTAGCGTTTGAGCACAGCCCATAATTGCTACCACCTCCGATTGGAAGACAGTGGTGAACTCTCCAAGAGGGAGAGTCTCCCTGACTCCACTACGACATCCGTAGATTCCGGCACCGGCGCCTTCATCAGTCTTGGAGCCATCCGTGTACCAGACGTTCCCATTCCTGATAGCGGGCACCTCATGCCTCTCCCAGTCCTCGCGGCTAGGATTATAGATCTTGTACGATCTGTCAAAGTCGCGCCTTATTCTATCCTGCCTCATGTCAAACACGGTTTCCATTTGGAGCTCCCGCGGTAACCAGGTGTGAATCACACCGCTCATCCACTTTCCCTCGCACTTCAGCCTATCGCCGTGACCGCTGCTGCCACCACTATCGCGAGATGGAGTGGTTCTATGCCGAGCAGCACTCCCATTGCCGCCACTGGCATTGTCCTCATTGCACCCAGAGCCCCCCTTAAGAAGAGAGCTCTGACGCGGTCCAGTGATGCGCGGGGCTCGGTTTACTGTGTCCTTGGCCACCAGATCACCGCAGCATAGAGCAATCTCGGTCGGAGCACCGCGGAGTATAGCCAAAACACTCTGTCTGGCTGCAATCCCCAAGTTTGCCCAAAGGTTCTTCTGCACATCCAAAAGTATGTGCTGGCTTTCTTACACACTGATTCCAGGTGCAGCTTCCAGTTCAATCTTTTATCCAGGACAATTCCCAGATACTTGACTGACATTCCAGGAGTCAGTCTGACTCCCTTCAATACGGGCCCCTCCACGGGACCTATTTTGTACTTGTGTGTGAAAATCACCAGACTTTTCTTACTCGGGTTCACCAATAGGCCTGTCCTCTCACACCATTCCTCTACCACTCCCTTGTGTGAGCTCTAGGAGCGTTTCTAGGAAAGGGCCTTCTATCAGGATCGCCAAGTCATCAGCGTACCCGAGTGCCTTGAAGCCCTTGTCATTAAGTTCTTCAAGTAGCCTATCCGCTACTAGGCACCACAAGAGTGGTGAGAGGACTTCACCTTGGGGACAGTCTCTCCCTACCCATCCTTTGACACTCACCGTACCCAGCGATGTCGTCA